TTATGAGAAACAATTGAGATAAAGTAAACAAAATCTAATCAACAACATTGTTTAGTGTGTAACAAAACTGCATAGGCAAGGATTGGGACCCTGGAATTAGACTGCTGAGATATCTCTCTAACAGTTTGAGCTACAGTGGTCAACAGAAGTGTCCTGGACCAACTGTGCTACAGTTATATACAGTGGCCAGCAGAAATGCCGTGGACCAACTGTGCTACAGTTATATACAGTGGTAAACAGAAGTGTCCTGGACCAACTTTGCTACAGTTATATACAGTGGGCAACAGACGTGTCCTGGACCAACTGTGCTACAGTTATATACAGTGGTCAACAGACGTGTCCGGGACCAACTTTGCTACAGTTATATACAGTGGTCAACAGACGTGTCCCGGACCACCTTTGCTACAGTTATATACAGTGGTCAACAGACGTGCCCTGGACCAACTGTGCTACTGTTATATACAGTGGTCAACAGAAGGGTCCTGGACCAACTGTGCTACTGTTATATACAGTGGTCAACAGACGTGTCCTCGACCAACTGTGCTACAGTTATATACAATGGGCAACAGACGTGTCCGGGACCAACTTTGCTACAGTTATATACAGTGGGCAACAGACGTGTCCTGGACCAACTGTGCTACAGTAATATACAGTGGTCAAAAAAAAAAATCATGTTTCTGAAACTTCTTTTTTTTAATTATTTGTTAATTTGATTCCTACGGAGACAAAAGCCGTATATTGAATTGATCCTGATTATCTGTTAACTGGGTCAGAAAGTACATTCTGTGTGCCCGATCAGGTATTGTGACATGCTATGATAGAGCGCTCTCTGCAGACTTTCCGTCATTTGATCAGGGTAATTGTGTCACTCCTAAGCTCTTAACAGAAAATCAATATAAAAACTCATTTTTTTATTAAGATTAATATGATTTACAACAGGAAGTTGTCATCTCGTTTGTAAATTACTGAGCCAGAACACGAATCTATGGACACGAGCATTCCCTCTCATCGGAGAAATCTTGCAAAAAAATATATCCTAAAGGCTTACGTAATGATCTGATGTAAAATGCAGCATGTGTAGTGCCAGGTTTCTTGTGGTATAATCCTGAAACACATCAGGAATATAGCTAAGGATTTCATGCTTTATGTAAAAAAAAAAAAAATCGGTTGTTACTTGACGCTATGCCTGTTGGAAAGTCATTTCTTTGGTGAATGACTGCTGATCTATGTGCCCCAGTGTCATCAATATCGCGTCCTATAATGCTGTCTTGTAGTAAACCATGGCACTCAACTTGGAATGTGACTTCTTTGAAAATAAGAAGTGAATCACTTGCATTACGAACTATTAGTTGTTGCATGATTTAGCGATAAGCTGGTGTTTCAGATGACAAAAGAAAAAAAGATTATCTCAGAGCAAAATTGAGACTTTGGCTCGAATAACAGATGTTATTGACCTTAACATCATCTTGCATGATCTCGGAATGTGTTTGGTAATTATTAATTGTTTTTATTTTTAAATTAACCAAAAAATATGTGATCAATTTGATGCTGTTTCATGATTAGTCACATCCACTGATTAAACAACTTGAATGAACAAAATAATTAGCCGTTTTTAAAAAAACACCACCACAAACTTTGATTAGAAATATCATTTCTGTGGTAATTAAGTGTAGAACTTTCGCCTCTGTATATTGGCCCTATCATCACAGTGGTGGATCTGGAGACCTATTTCCAAATATCCAGGGGAGGGTTTCCATGTGGGGGAAAATTGAAGAAAATGGTAAAAATACATGATTTTTAAAGAAAACTCTCATGGTGGGGGGGGGGGTTCAATCTTGCAGCCCATAAAACCCCTCTGGATCTGCCACTGTAGACTGGCTACCAGCCTCTAAGTTTTTATGAAGAATTTCTCGGCTGTATTTTACTGCTAGCTTATCTCCCCCTAGTTTAGAACTTAGGATTAGACATCCAAGTGTTCAAATTTTTCAAATTTTTTAAAGTTAAAGTTGTTTTCTTAATTATTCAATATTCTAGAGATAGTGGCCAGTCCACTGCCACTGCATCAGCAGGTGAACCAATAGCCTATCTATTCAGTAATATTTGTATTCTGCTGTTCAATCTATATCTGCCAGAATGAATAAAACAATTTCTCTACTGACTACTTGTCTATTGTGTCCCAACCAGGATATGTTGGATGCTGTACAGCTGTATGCTAGCTGTCAAAGTGACCTATAGGCTCTGTAGCTTCCTGTAGGATCAGGTGACATAATAGATCATCAAATTTTAATTAAGTCTCCAAAATGTTTGTTTATTACCACAGTGACACCATGCCTACTTTAGAATTGGATCCTATAACACATCAATTTTAACTAGGTCTGCATAATGTTTTGTTTGTTACAACTGTGACTTCAAGCCTCAAGTAGACCTAGATCATATAACTCATCAAACTTTATATAAGGTCTGCATAATGTTTGTTTGTAACAACGTTACTGTGACTTCAAGCCTCCAGTAGAACTATAGATCATATAACTCCTCAAATTTTATAAGGTATGCATAATATTTGCTTCTTTATCTACAGTATCCGTACAGGGATAAAAATTGAGGATAAAAAACCCGCCAGAAAAACAATGTATGTAATGAATCGTTTTGTCCAATATTGAATTGTCATTGCAAATACTTATGATGAAATATTGATAATGAAGCCAGGGGATGTCAGACTGTGTAGTGATCAAGGGACTAATGTTTCTGGAAGTTCATTTAGATCTGCCATTACAGAGAGAAAACATTATAGAGCCTGTCGGAGAATGACGTGAACCGTGACACGAGACATCATCTGAATATCCTTACTAGTAGTGTTTTACGAGCTGTTACTGTCAGTCGGTGTAAAAATTGCTATTTGTGTTCTGGGCCGATTAACCTACTCATCAGTAGGGATACAGGTGTGACCATTTACCTGTGTTAATTAACACCAGGAGGTTTTATCACCTCACAGGTAAACTCTAACAGACATTACACATAAAGGCTTGCTGTATAAAAATGAGAATTACAGCAGATCCATCAGCTGATATGTGTAATCTTACTGCCACATACTTGCCCTTCTCTATAAAAAAAAAAATCAATTTCAGGAGAGAATTCTAAAACATGTTATGGATGTTGTATTGAACTTAAATTAATTAGTGGCAGGTTTTTTAAAGGTTAACAAGAATTTGAGCATTCACAGCCATCAGATAATTCTAAATTATCTGATAGAAGTGATTACATTTAGGGAGATAACGATCATCATAGGTATGATGTTTCAAGTTATATATATCATGAAGGGAGATAACTCAACACAAATCATAGGTATGATAATTTAGGTAGCATACTTTTACCTTAGGATTCTAATAATATGTATAATGTTTAAAGTAGCATTCATCTTTAATGTGTATGGTAGCATATAAATATATATATATATATATTTTAAACTTTTAACATGCATAGTATAATGTTTGAGATGGCATGTTTCCTAAAGGGAGATAACTCTAACAAAAATCAGAGGTATAATGTGTAAGGTAGCATATATCCTTAAGGGAGATAACTCTAACACAAATCGGAAGTATAATGTGTAAGGTAGCATATATCCTTAAGGGGGATAACTCAAATAACACAAATCAGAGGTATACTGTGTAAGTTAGCATATATCCTTAAGGGGGATAACTCAAATAACACAAATCAGAGGTATACTGTGTAAGGTAGCATATATCCTTAATATATACTGATTCTCAGCTGTAGTAGTGAGCAGACTTAACAACAAATTTGCTAAATGTCTACTTCAGGAAATGACATGGGCTTCCATTGAAAATGAAGTGGAATTATGGCTTTAAGGAAGGTTTCAGTTGTATAAGGCCCGGGGACTTGAGGGCCCCTACCAGAATTTCTCTGTAGAATTTCAGCTTCAAGCCTGCTTGCTGTGAACCATTAACATTGAGATGGAGCTGTGTTGGACATTGCATGATGGTTATCACAGCATAGCTGTAGAAGATAGATCAGCGTATCTATCGGAACAACGTAGTATCTAAGTGCCGCAATACGTCTAACGTCTCTCAGGTATTCAAAACAAATAGCATGTACAAACAACAGTCGAGACACCTATTTAAGTTCAGATGCTGTGAACAAATATCAATCAAGAGACACAAATTAATAATTTGAATAATTTTCAGAACTTTTTATATGTGACTACATAGTATTAATATTTGCCGTCATTATGGGTGGCCAAGACAGACTGCCACACAATGCTGACGATGTGGAACGACCAATTTGCAGAAACCCGTTATGATGTTAAGATCTGTGAAGTAAAAACTTGGGTTGGCATGGTTTGTGGTTGTCTGTGGAATGCTAATGTTAGCAGACGAATGTTAATGTAGCGTTATATGAAACAGGATCGCACATTATTTAGGATCTGATAACCGATAGGTCTAAGGTTTATATTAAGGACATGCTTTTCAGATACCCTTGGTGACTAACTCAAGCATGTAATGGTTGTAAAAACGTATATTTACTTGGCTGATATCAAGATCATTTTTTTTCTGTATGGGATCTAACCAATCAACTAACTTAATAAACCAATGGTGATGGACAAGTCAGTTTAATTAACTGATATGAGGGGCAAGAACAATTTGATGAACACCTGAAGGTCAAGGACAACCATAATCATATGCGTGGGTCAATAAACCTTGAAGGTCAAGGACAATCTTTAACATATGTGTTGGTTTTGGAACTATTTATATATGGAATTGTTGAGGACAATTAATATGTGAAGGTCAAGGATAATTTGAAGAGATGTAAAGGTCAAGGACTATTGATCTTAATGGGTCAGATATAAAGATGGATATCACAACATTGGACTTTTATTTACACCATCAGAGAAATATAATATACTGCTTAATTTTCATTGTCACAACAGAAGATGTGAGATTTAAAAACTTTTTCAAAGTTTCTCACATCAGGATTTGAGAACTTACCGTAGATTTCAACCACCATCCCAAGGGGCATGACCAGCAACGAGACGAGTAGGTCAGCGATGGCTAAAGACATGAGGAAGTAGTTGGTCATATTTTGTAGGCGTCGGTCCCAGATTACGGCCAAACACACGAGCAGGTTACCCAGGGCGGACATGCAGATCACCAACAGCAGAACCAACATGGCCAGCTGTGGCATGCGCTCCTCCACCCTGTCCACCCCGCTAGTGTTGGATAGGTTCCCACGCCCCTCATCACTCACATTCATTGTGTTGATCAGCGTAACATCCTCAGGCAGTGTGGCATGGTCAAACATACAAACAGTTATCTCCGCCACACTTATATCTAACTATTCCAAATTAATCCAAAATTAATTTTTCCCGAAAATAAATTCCACACTTTTTTGAAGCACCTGGACTGCAGGTAATACCTGTATTTATTATCACCGGGTTTCTGTTAACACTGACTCAATAGAAAACACATTGTGTGTGACTCCTCCTGTATTGAATGGACTTTATAGCTGATTGTATGTTGTGTGTGGGATGCTATGGGGGACTGGATAACCCCTGACGTAGGGAGCAGTACCTGGGGTGACCATCACAGAGAGCCACATCGTGTGATGACATCATATACACGCTGTCAGATCTGACTGTGGTGGGATTGTGAGGAGGATCTGCCTCAGCAGCTAGCTGTACACCAATCAAGTAGCAGGGGCTGGCCTAGTGTCCACCATATATACATAGCAGTGTAACTCCTCACCATTCACCAGTCTACTCCTCGTTACTGATGTACTCACAGTAGACCATTCACCAGTCTACTCCTAGTAACTGATGTACTCACAGTAGACCATTCACCAGTGATTCTAAACGGTCAATTCAGTACTTCTCACTAGTATAGGTACTCCACAGTGTTATGATAGACACATGTTAATTCACTACTGTTTAATCACTTTTCATAATTCAATGGTTTTCACTATATTCATAGTTCACTGGTTTTCACTATATTCATAGTTCACTGGTTTTCACTATTTTCATAGTAAACTGGTTTTCACTATTGTTATAATTTTGAGGTACTCATCAGTACTGTATTAGTTCACTTGTACTCACTATTATAATAGTTCAGTAAAGTATTGTAATACACTGGTTTTCAGTATTTTTCAAAGTTCACTGGTTTTCACTATTTTACTAATTAATGGGTGCTCATCAGTAACATATTAATTCACCTGTACTCAATCTTATAATAGTTCACTGGTTTTCACTTTTTTCAAAGTTTACTGGTTTTCATTATTTCATAGTTCACTGGTTTTTCGCTATTTTCATGGTTAACTGGTTTTCATTATTGTCATAATTAATGGGTACTCATCAATACTGTATTAGTTCACTTGTACTCACTATTATAAAAGTTCACTGGTTTTTACTTTTGTAATAATTCATGGGTACTCGTACCTTATTAGTTCACTTGTATTCACTCTTGCAATAGTTCACTGATACTGTTGTAATTCTAGACACTGTCTATTCACACTGTAGTAAAACTAACATTGTCCTTCGCTGGTATTTATTGTCTATTTACATGCCAGCTCCTAGGGTACATACAGGGTGCATCGGTGCTGTCCATGATTTCGTAGTCCTGGACCTTTCTGTATAGTCATCTGATAATTACATGATCAGTTAGGTCCTGGTAGCATCTAGTCCTCTTATACTGGTTAGTGTTGTAATGGAACGAGGATTTCTTAATAATTCCACATCACATCTGAGATTCTACAAAACAGGTTCGTATGTTTGTTCAATTACCTCTGTGGTCATCCATGTAATTACAGTTTCCTGGTCTGTAGAACACTTTAATTCCCTCGCCTAGGTCTTCCTTGCCAGAAGTATTTACTTACATGGTCTAAAGATCTGCTCACGATAGCTATAGAGCTGCTGAGGTTCATGCGTGTACGATTAAGTATGGTGAATGATAGTTTGTTCCTATGTCCTTTTTTTTTTACGCGGTGATGATGTCTGGGAAAGATTTAGTTAACTCCAATTATATGGTTTAGTGTATCCATCTCCTCATCATATAGAATCTCCATTAAGTGGCCAGGTCCTACCTGCAATCACCATCATTCACACCTGTCGGCCTCTTTATGATCAGAACTGTATATTTACTTACATTAGACAGTGATGCCACAACTGTATCGCTATAACTATCATAATTCACCTGTCCAGTATCTGTAGCTAATGAGATACTCCTAATGTTTAGTTCAGCTTAGTAGCCTTGAGCCTATCTACCCCTGTAAGTGTATCATCCTTGAGCCTATCTACCCCTGTAAATGTATCAGCTTTGAGCCTATCTGCCCCTGTAAATGTATCAGCCTTGAGCCTATCTACCCCTGTAAATGTATCAGCCTTGAGCCTATCTACCCCTGTAAATGTATCAGCCTTGAGCCTATCTACCCCTGTAAATGTATCAGCCTTGAGCCTATCTACCCCTGTAAATGTATCAGCCTTGAGCCTATCTACCCCTGTAAATGTATCAGCCTTGAGCCTATCTACCCCTGTAAATGTATCAGCCTTGAGCCTATCTACCCCTGTAAATGTATCAGCCTTGAGCCTATCTACCCCTGTAAATGTATCAGCCTTGAGCCTATCTACCCCTGTAAATGTATCAGCTTTGAGCCTATCTGCCCCTGTAAATGTATCAGCTTTGAGCCTATCTGCCCCTGTAAATGTATCAGCCTTGAGCCTTTCTACCCCTGTAAATGTATCAGCCTTGAGCCTATCTACCCCTGTAATTGTATCAGCCTTCAGCCTATCTACCCCTGTAAGTGTATCAGCCTTGAGCCTATCTACCCCTGTAAGTGTATCGATACAGTACCAAACCTCCCTACCATGTGCTGCAACGGCTATGAGAGATAGGTCGGTATAACCATATCAATATTTAACTCTCCCTGCTCTTTTAACAATTAACAGCTATACAGAACCCTTTACCACACCTATAACCATGGCCGGGGGCTAGCTCAGATTCACAATAACTATTAATACCATTTCCGCGCCATTTGATTTTCAATCAGATAATTTGTTTGTCTTGGTGATTAATACTGTTCCGACAGAAACTTGGCCTTGTATGTTTGACCTTGTGTTAGCTATCAGGAGCAAAATAGTACAGAAAGATTGTTGAGAATTGAGTAGAGTTATAGGTTATGTCACCAGTACCTATTTTGTCTATAAGGGCGGGCTTAAGTCTTATCTTACGATGCTGGATTATCTAGGACATTTACCAAAAACCAGCTATCTCAAAATCAACAGATAATTAAGTGATTTAGCAATCCCACAAATTTAACTCAGGTTGTGGCATTTTGAGCTCTGGAAAATGATGACCCCGGAGTACTGAGCTAGGTTAAGCCCTACCGAGGACTGTTGGCTCCAAGTGCCAGTGGTAATCGATGGAGTCTAAATTCAATTTTATTTATCTGGCTGGAGAGTTAAAAAAAGCATATTAAATCACTTATCTAGATGTTTAATCTGACGAATGTTTGGTAAATTTTCGGTTATTTTCAGTGCTAATGAGTGATAATTAAAAAAATATTTTGAGTGAAATCTTTGCTGCAGGTGTCTGCTTAAAAATGTGCGAGACATTTTCTGCAAGGAAAGTTTACATGTGCCTAAGGTGGATATGATTGCAGATGAGTAGGTATGTCTGATGTATGGGCACCTGTGTTGTTTCAGCTGCGGCTCCTACTTATCTATACACACCACACTTCCTACAGCTAATTAATTGTTCCCTCACATAGTTTGTATGGCTAATTTTCACCACCATCTATTTACATGATGAATTGAACGGCTAATTTGTATAGTCTTTTTGTATGAAAGATGAGTTGTACAATAGCTGAGTGTTTCATTCATGTCGTAGGTAAGACTACTCCCTCTGAGCTTACACAGAATTGTACTAAGTCCACCAGAATCATTTACTGATGTTCGGTAAAGAAAAATTGGCCAGTACGTTCTTCACACAGCATTTAGTGTTAAGTAGGTATCCATATTCCTCTGTAGAATTATACAACACATGTCTGATATTTCACAGTTAACACTGTGGCTAATTCGTAATGTGTATTTGATGAATGCTGCTCCTTTGAAATATAATCACAAATTCCTTATAGTAATTCCATACAGAATCACAAGATAAGAATCTCGGCTATCCAGTCTAGTGTGTCTTTGATTTGTACATGTTTCGGGTTGTCATCGTCAGCTTCGGCAGCCATTAGTCTCCACATAAGTAATTGTGACTATACCTACATCCTCCGTGTCCTCTTGTTAGTCAGGTGTGATAGCCAGGTGTTTTCCTGCCTGACCTTCTGACAGATTTCACCTATAAGTTAGTATATCTCCCCACGATTTCTATCGAACCACACCTCCAGTATAGCGTCACATCAAACGAGCTGGCATGTTTTTCTCTCTAATGACAGCTGTAATTAACCTTGATGTAACGACTTATCTCTCAGGTGAGTTACAAAGGTAGATCATACAGCCAGTAATGAATTGAAACCATATCTAATCTAATATTGAAATGAAGTGGTGATATATGACTTATGTAGATGAGTCTCGACACTGACTCTATTGTAAACCACATATACTCAAGCATCCTAATTGGTTTTCTATTTTGTCAGTCCTGAAGCATACTTAGAATACCATTATCACCATACTCTTTTTAAAGTTAGAATTTATGGACATTTTTGTCCCATGTGTCATTTTCTTTTGTAAAATGGATTTTTTTTTTACCATATACTTAAGTTGTTTAAGGTAAAAAAAATGTTTACCATATTTGTTGTAATATTACCATACCCTTTTTAAAGTTAGAAATTATTGACATTTTTTGTCCAATGTGACATTTTCTTTTGTGAAATAATAAAAGAAATATCATATACTAAAGTTGTGTTTAAGGTAAATAAAAGAAATATTAAAAGTACCATATTTGTTGTAATTAGCACCTGTCCTCTTGCAAATGCTCTTTATTTTTTGGGAAATTATTTTAAGTTATCTAAGCATTTTCCCAAACTAAGATCAAGGTCAAGCTCTTTATTACTTTGAGCTTTACAGCTCATCAGTATGCAATACAGTGCAAACTATGTAAAGACACCCTCCCCGATAAGTACAAATTTATATTTTTTCGCACCATTTTTGGTCGGTAATTTAAGGGGAGATAATGCTGAAGGCATTGGTAAAAGTACAATTTTCAGCTGTCGTGTCTGATAGGCATGCCTATTGCCACTCCATTGTTTTTATTTACCAACACTACTGCAATGATAATTGGTCGTAACACCTGGATTTGATGGCCTTGTTACTTTGATGGATTATGGATACACTTGCATAGAGACGTTAACTTTGAGCGAGACACTTGAATTTAATTTATGGCACTCAGTAAAAAAATTGAAGTAGAGGTAACATTCTGTGTTAATACAGCCCTTGACAAAAAATTGAAGTAGAGGTAACATTCTGTGTTAATTCAGCCCTTGACAAAAAATTGAAGTGAAATAACATACTGTGTCAATTCAGCCCTTGATTTCATAACAAACACTTCACCGACTTATATAACTGTTTACCCAGTGATTGTGGTATGATTTGGAATAGGGGCAGAACCTTAAATGTGAATTTGAAAACTATATAATGTTCCTTGTCTCCATCATTTGTATGAATCTAAACTTTT